ACTGATACATTTAACTTATACATTTGTTTACTGATACATTAACTTATACATTTGTTTACTGATACATTAACTTATACATTTGTTTACTGATACATTAACTTATACTGATTTGAATTTTAGTTATTTATTTAATACAATAAGCTTAATTATTTATGCTACACCTCCGCAACTTATGATGTAATTAAAATTCCGTCTTTTTTACCGAAAATTTTTCCGTTTTTTTTTTTCTTTTTAACAGTATTCCTTTATTTACACACGGAATTAACCCAAACTCTCAGAAGCATTCAAAAATAGAAATTATCATAATGTTCGCATTTCATTTCATAAATTATTACCATTTCATTCCATTAATTATTCCAATTAATTTCACTAATTACACTTACCTTGATTTTTAACTTCCGTTACAACACCTTTATCACGCCAATCAAATGATTCAGGTATTTCATCACTATCAATACCATATTCTTTTAAATCCACCAAATACTTATTTTCATCCAATGGCCATTTATATGGTAACATAATCTGGCGGTAAAAAAAAAAAATGATATTTCATTATTGATAATGCTAATTAACAGAAGTAAAATTATTCTCGTAGATAACAATTATCAAATCATTTTTGAAAAATTAATCGAATTAAAAAAAAAAGATTATTAATGAATCAAATAGAAAAAAAGAAAAATAATAAAATTTATGCATATTTTAAATCTCATAAAAATAAAATAGGAAAAAGAAAAAACAAACAAACAAACAAACAATAACCTTTCTGAATTCTTCTTGAGTCATATCACTGAAAGGTGTTTCACCATAAATTGCTGTATCTTGTTCATTCTTTTGTATTAATTTTGCTAAACGTAAATTTCGTTTATAAATTCGAAATCGCTTCAATAATTCTTTCTTGCTACGATATTTACGATTATGCCTGAAAAATATTTTTTCAAAAAAAAAAATGAATTTTACTTTTCAATTTCAATTTCAATTATGCTTGCAAAAAAAATTGAAGATAGCAAAGATACTTTTTAGGATAATTTCAATATATTTTCTATTCGAGGAATATTGTTGTAAAATCACGTATTATATTTTTAATTTTTTAACTTATTAAATTTGAAACTATGTAGTATCATTTTTATTCGGAAATTATATTATAAAACTTCAAAATTTATAAAAAATTTTCTAGATATGATAAAAGCGTTACTGTTGGATAAAATTTGCAAATAAATTCCATGAGGTAAAATCTTTTTCCATGATTGTTTGTGTTGGTTCGTAATATCGATGGCCAACTTTGATAGCTAATTTATCCATATTATTACGAAGTCGATGTCCTTCGGTAACAATTTTTGGTCTAAAAATTTATTTTAGGTTTTTTTTTTCTTTTGATTATTTAACAAAAAATTTTTTGTAAAAGGATGCAATTTTTCAAATTAATTATCCATAAATGTTGTAATGGATTAGTTCGTAGTTCATTAATTGTAAAATTAATTGTCTAGTTGATATTATGCAAATTTTAATTTATATTTCGAAATTTCAAGTTTACTACGTTTGCTAGAATTCTTATAATATGTTACTTAAATTCTTTCAATTTTCACTATTTAGAAAAAGTTATTGTTATATCTAATGTGAAAGATACTGGCAAATTTTCGAATTAAAAACAACATAAGCTTATTTTACCTGTTTGCTTATTAGGTAAAATTATTTTTTTAGCACATTCAAAGATACTAATAAATTTATGAATTTTCGAATTAAAAAAATAGAATTAGCTAAATGTTGCTTAACATATTCAAAGACACTCGAAAATTTATAAGACTCTCAAATTAAAAAAGCCACATAAGCTTACTCTAACTGACATTCAGAATTGGCCAACAGTTAGTTCCTTAGCACATGTAAAAGATACTAATAAATTTATGAATTTTCAAATTAAAAATAGAATTA